TGGCTGTAGTTCACATCAACTACATATTCCGTGGGGAGCTACTACGAACATTAGCAGGTAATGACCAAAGATTAAAATAGGACGACTTCTTTTCTGTCTGTGCTTTCCTGGTTTTCTTTCTGTCCAGGTAACAACAAGGACAGGAGTTAAAGAAACTGCAGTTCTCAGGGTGATCTTGGGAACTCCTTTGTGCTAAGAATGGAAATTGGCAATGAGGCCCAAAACAGCGCCCATTTGTTTCCCTAGCTGGGGGCTCTACGCTTCTTGTCTTAACACAGCAATAAAATCCTTCTGATGAAAGCAAGCTGATGTGTGGGAACTTAGATGTAAAACGGTGGGCAAAGATCCAAATGTTTATGCTGCAGTTAGTATTTTATAATTGGATCTTTTATTCCAAATCTGTAAAGCCCACTCCTCCCAAGAATACCACACCTCTGTGCCTTCCCTCACATCACCACAGTGATCTCCTGGACCCCTCCTTACTGCAAATATACACACAGGAAAACCAGACTTTCGTTTCCCCCAACCTCCATTTCTCACAGAACAGAGTATTTCAGTTAAAAGGAACCACAGTCACCATCTAGACCAACTGCCTGACCAATTCAGGGGTCACTGAGTTAAAGTACGTCATTAAGGGCATGGGGATAAAGAGGCTTGGGGCACCAACCACCTCTCTAGGAAGCCTGTTCTGGTGTTTGGCCAGGCCCTAAGTAAAGAAATGCTTCCTATTGTCCAGTTTAAACCTCCCTTGGCACAGCTTTGAACCATTCCCACACATCCTGTCACTAGATACCAGGGAGAAGAGCTCAGCAGCTCCCTCTCCACTTCTCTGCCTCAGGAAGTTGTACAGAACATTAGAGGCACAGAATCATTTCAGCTAGAAAAGACTTTTATGATCATTGAGTCCAGCTGTTCACCCAGCACTGCCAGATCCTAAACCACCACTAAAACATGTCCCTAACTACCACATACACAAGTCTCTTAAATACCTCCAGGGATGGGGACTAAACCACTTCCCTGGGCAGCCTGTTCCAGGGCTTTACAACCCTTTTGGTGAAGACATTTTTCCTAATACCAAACCTAAACCTCCCCTGGGTGCAACCCAAGGCCATTTCCCCTTGTCCTGTTACTTGGGAGAAGAGACCAATGCCCATCTCACTCCAACCTCCTTTAAGGTAGTTGTAGTGAGAAAGAAGGTCTCCCCTGAGCCACCATTTGTCCAGGCTAAACAACCCCAGTCCCCTCATCTGCTCCTCATATGACTTGTTCTCTAGACCCTTCACCAGCTTTGTTGCCCTTCTTTGGGCACACTCCAGCACCTCAACATCCTTCCTGTAGCGAAGGGCCCAAAATCAAACATAGTACTTGAGGTGTGGCCTCACCCCTGCAAAGTACAGAGGTGCAATCACTTCTCTAGTCTGCTGGCCACACTAGTGCTGATAACAAGCCAGGGTGCTGTTGGCCTTCTTGGCCACCTGGGCACACTGCTGGCTCATGTTCAGCCAGCTGTCAAGGAACACTGCCAGATCCTTTCATTTGGCAGTCTTCCAGCCACTCTTCCCCATGCCTGTAGTGTTGCAGGGGGTTGTTGTGACCCAAGTGCAGGACCTGGCACTTGGCCTTGCTGAAATTCACAGCATTGGCTTCAGCCCACCGATCCAGTCTGCCCAGATCCCTCTGTAAATCCTCCCTACCTTGAAGCAGATCAGTGTTCCCATCCTACTTGGTGTAATCTGCAAACATACTGAGGGTGCCTTCAATCCCCTTGTCCAGGTCATTGATACAGATATTAAAGAGAATTGGCTCCAATACTGAGCCCTGGGGAACATCACTTGTGACCAGCCATCAACTGAATCTAACTCCATTCACCACAACCCTTTGGGTCCATCCATCCAGTCAGTTTATTAACCCAGCAAAGAGTAAATAGGGTCCCAGTGGTTCACAAATTTTCCTGTACCAGTCCAGTCTGCTCCCTGTCCCACCACTGAGCTATTTCCATGCTCCTTGGATTGCTCCCATGCCTCTCATATCTTCTCAGGTTCCTTCTGTCTTCCACTACACCCAACTGATCCAACAGAAACAGCCATTCTCACAAGCACTGCTTTAAATTAAGACAGTTATATAAACAGTTACTAAACTCATGGAGGTCAGTCAGCTAATACAGCATCTATCTCCTTTCCCTCAGGTGTGTAGACACCACTGCCACATCCAAAGAGTAATCAGTCTGGAGGGCTGCATAAGGTGTCATCTGTACAAGTGACAGATGATAGTGGCTCATACAAGAAGCAACATCACACAGTTCCAAGCCAATTTTCTCTACAAAATTCCACTGCTCTTTTTGCAGGCAGCTTTCAACTTTTGCTAGTCCTGAATATCAGACATTTTCCCAACACTTTGTATCCAAGTCTGGCCTCCAGAGAATCAAAGCCACGTGCTGAACCAGGTCTTCTAAGCTAAGACAGATTCTTTTGCAGCAAACCACGTGCCTGATGATCCCTGTCATGGGAAGCAGTCCCTTATCACCTCCCCTAGAAACAGTCTTTGAACACATGAACTCAAGGGAAATGCAGAATGAGGGTCCTTTCAGTGATTTGAAGACTCTTTTGAACTCTATTTTTTAAATTCAGGTTTTAGAGCACTTTTAACTACTGGTATCCTGCCACCATTTAACCTGATGAGACAGGTTTAACATCCAACATTCCTCTTATGAGGGGGATGGGCTTCCATGAGACAAGTGCTAAGTCAAAGCAAGTAATGGGTTAACACGGTGAGACTCAAAAGACTCACTTCCTGAATATTAAATAGGTCTGCACTTATTGATAATTCCTGACCTCCAAAACCCTAAAATATGGACCTTTCCTGATGGTTAGGATTCCACTTATGAGGAGCAAGGAAAGTATTTAGTGAATCTCCAAATGCCTTGAACAGTGTAATTTCTAATCTCTGTCAAGCCAAATACAGACAGCAAACTGTCTCTCAGCAGGGTATATAAGCTGCTAAATCTTGCAGTGCTTGAGGCATCATAATCCTCAAGCAGGCACATGGACCAAGAGACAGACTCATGCATTTTGCAACTTAAAGTCACATACAGCTTTTACAATCAGGCCATTTTCAATAACCATGTCACTAGTTTTGTTCTAAGTAGGTGAGATTCTGATTCCAATTGCTGCAATTTAAGTTCAGTGAGACACCAGACACCTGGCAGCCTTTCAGAGAGCATTATTCACGGCACTGGCAGGCAGGACCACATCACCCATCCTGTAGGATGAAAGGATAAAAAGCCCCAGTGGTTATTTGCACCACCACCACAGCATAATGCTAATCAGAACCCACCCCACCATCTTTGGGACTCCTTACAAATGAGTGAAAAACTGCAAAACTGCAGATTCCTAGGTTGATTTAAGCCCCATACAAACCAGAAGGAAATTGCACCTGTGCAAAATGGGGGCTCCCAGCCCGCTACAATGGCAAAGAATTTCTTTGGAGTCCTGCACAGACTGATCATGCAGCAGGTCTCCACTCATTCAGTTTATTTTCCATCCAGATTGTGATTTATAAAAACGCCTGAACTGTCTGTAGATGTTTTCTTCAGAGTACCAGTGTGAAACACTGGGTGGGGGGCTGGCTAGGCAGAATGATAATTGTTTCTCCTGGTTCGCAGACATATTATAATTTGTCTCATGTTTTAGCAACATCACCATTAAAATTTCAAGTTTAAAATAATAATTTTTGATTATTCAGAAGCAGTAACTGTATGAAACAGCATATGGGTTTGGGCCTGTATCACTCTTATTGTGTGAAATTCATTGGGTACAGAGCTGACTAGCAAAAAGCTATTTACACAGCAGAAAAAGCGTTATCTGGCACTGATGAAACAACAAACTTGAAAGCTGATCTTTGAATAATACTTGCCTACTGTATACAATCACTCAGTATTAGCATTTTGAGGAGCTGGGCAGTGACAAGTTCTCTTGATATGCTAAGTACAGGCAAAAATTCCAGCACATAAGCCATTTGGGTTACCAAAACTGAAGTCCATAAAGCAAGGCCTACGTATCTTTGAAAATTATCTGAAAACTTCAGATTAACATTGATAGCCAAATTCATGGCTTGGAGCTTCAGTAAACCTAATTTGTTTGGTTTTTTTTTTTTTAAATTTTATTTTAACTGATTGTAACAAAGCAGCTAAGCTGATTAATTCCAGCTATAAGTCCTCCCACCACCAATAGCTCTATGAAGGATAAACCAATATTCAATATTAATTAAAAACACAAACCAAATTTCAGGAACTACTGGGAGGAATAAAGAGCATTGTTATAACTCTGTACATATACTCAAATTATGCAACATGTTGAATACAGTTCCATTCCCAAATTTTCCGAGGGTTATAGAAGAATTAGAAAAATAAAGGTAAAAGGGATAATCAAAGGCATGGACTGGCTCCTGCACAAAGAACAACTAAATAAATTATGACTGCTTAGCCTGAAAAAGGAGGTACCTGCATTAGAGATTTGCCAGAAGTCTAAGAAACTCACAAGTGAAGAGAAGATGAACACAGAAAGATTTTTAATCACCTCTTCCAATTAAAAAATGAGGCAGCTTCAAATGAAACTACTTGGCAGCAGGTTTAAAGCAAACAAAAAGCAATATAGTTTCATAAAACACATAGGAAAGCTCTGGAACACACCACCACAGGGTATTGTGCTTTCAAAAGGTGTTTTTCTAGCTTGAGTACTTCTCCAGATTAAGGTCCCCTTTGTCCCAGGATGGCCACATAGAGAGCTGCATCTATATCCATCAACTATTTTTGGCTATTTATATTTTACTTTGGCTTTTTAGTTTTCCTTCTCTCCTCTCTGTCAGTGTTAAAATACTTCTCCACACCTGAACACACTTGCTGTCATAAAACATCTGCTGCTACACAAAAAATAAGCTAACTGTAAAGCAATTTAGACTATTCATCAACCAAAAATCAAGATCTGATGACAGGCCTCACTTACCCAGATCCTCAGGAGCATCAAATAACCGCTCACATAAGTAGTAGTCATCTGGATTCAAGTAGGGCAGTTGCTTCAGCAAGCTCTGTTTAGGAATGAGATACAAGACCTCTGCAATATCCCCATCCTCAATAATTGACATTCTTTTGACTGAATTTCGGAATTTCACCTTTTCCAGCACCAGTTCTTCAGTCTGACTTGATCCACACAGCTTCCTAAAGCTGTTTAAGATGGGGAACGACGGCATTTCTACTCGGAAGCAGCCAGGGAAAGCAACCTGCAGTGCTCGCAGTCACTTCACTACTCACGGCACGCTGCCCTTACCAATCCTTCTCTTTTTCTCTTATCCAGCAAAGGAGATTAAGGTAGATATATTTTTAGTGATTATCTTCAAGAGATTATGACAGTATGCTTGATCAGGTGACTGCCATCTGAAACTATTGTAATCAGTTGCAACTCATCCCTGGAAATGCTAAAGTCAGAAACAAAACCATGAAGAGTATCTGAAAATCAGATTAATATTCAGGACAAGGGAAAGAACATAACTGAGTTATATAAGAGGATTAGTTTAATATAAAAAAAAAAACAACCTTGCTGTTTCAAAAATCTTATTATGGAAGAATCATCATTGTAATCTACAAATGCACATCTGTGCATTTAATCTACCATGCCTCTGTTCCACGCCAGGTCTGTATGTGTGCTATGGCAAAAAGCTTAGAGTGAGGGCAGAGCATGTTGGTCCCCCTTTCTGAAGAAGGGACAAAGGCTGGTTAGAACAACTTCATAAGCAGATTTCTTTGGAGAAATCCTTTCTGCAGCTTTCACTGCCTATTCCAAACAAAAGCCCTTAAGCTTTCCCCTAACCATTAAGGACTGGTTTGCTTGTGCTCTTCCTCTCCACCTTCCTGTGTAGCTGACAGGAGAAGCTTTGCAGATACAGTGCCAACCCTTCCTGCTTCACTTACAAGAACTATTTACATTAATCCAATTCCAGTGATTTGCTAATCTAATCATCTAATGAATACTTCTCCCTGGGTAAAGGCAGAGTTAATCATCAACAGGGCATTGGAAAGTCACACGAAATTCTAAAGCAAAAGATAAAAAAAACCTAAATTATCCAATCTAAACAAGTATTCATTGTGTAAGAGAAAGTTACAGGTAGACTCCAGGCCCAGACCTGTTCAGGAACAACTTCAGAGCCTTTACTCAGCCAGACTCTCAGAGATGGCTGTGCAGACAGTGTTTGGCCCAGGCTTTCAATTCCTCTTGACATACAGAAGTTAGGTACAGCTGCAGAAAGACCCGGTGTAATAATTGCACTACTTCCAGTAAGGCTTTTGCTAAATTAGAAGGTGAAAAAAACAAGCAATAGGCTGAGCACACTGAGAAACTGTCATTTGATTCTTCCCTCAAAACTCCGAATTCAAGTACCACCTACAGATGGGGACAGGCTTTGAAGGCTGCTTTATTTACTATTTTAAAGAGAAAACATTGTCTCACAAATCAAGACTTTGATCACCTACTATTACACACCTCCTGTGAGGTTGATTGCTTTTTATTTTTCAAGTAGTATGACTTGTATGTTATGTTATCTTGAAAGCAAGCCTGAAATCACCATTCCCATTAAACAGCCATTCTCCTGGGGTTTATAATCAATCAGGGACACTGTGGGACAAAGCCAGAAGAAATCTGTACTGCTGTACAAATTTGAATGAGACGATGCTAATGTAAATTTAGGAAGAGCTGCCTCAATAAATATAGAAATTCAAGTTCTGGCTTAGAGTTTCTTTTATCAGATCAGAGATCTCAGCAAATGCTGTGTTCTAAGTATTCCCCCTAGGAAATGAAGCTTTGCAAAAAATTTTCAGTCTCTCCCTGATTTCACAACCTGCTGACCTGCCTGCCACAGCCACTAAGTGGAAAAGACAGATCATTTAAAACTTCAAAAGCTTCTATCACTTTAGCTGAAGGTGGATGGATGCAACTGCAGAGCATGAAGAATGCCTCAACGTTGCCGGCCATTGCAAGAGGACTTGGACAAGGACGAGGTGCCCTTGAGCTGTGGAGGGGGGCTGACTCCCACCGACGGGAACCCCTGCCCAATCAGCACTCCCAGCAGCCCAGAAAGAACCACAAGGTTTCAACTTGGAGGGTGGAGAGGAGCAGAGAGGCACAAAGATTCGATCAACCAAAGGCAGTGGAAGATCTGGCAGTATTGGGTTAATGATTGGATTCGATGATATGAAATCATTTTTCCAGACTAAGTCAATCTAAAATGACATATAAGCACAGATCTATATGA